TAGTTTTGTACTCAATAAGAACAACCTATTCCAGTTTTTAAAGAAATTGTAAAGTACCTACAGACAGAGTATGGTCCTATTTGGTTTGAAACTAAAAAATCTAAAAACTTTACTGAAGGGCCAAAATTTTACACACAACATTGGAAAGAATAAAAACGTTTAACTAATCTATGCAAGATATTACACTACCTGTTGTTTTAAGAAATGCTTATTGTCACAGAAAACTTCCTTTTATTCCTTCTTGTAGAAAATTTGGAAGATAAATGAACTAGAGCAATTAGGCTGATATTAAAATGCCGAGACAATTCTCTACCTGCCCCAGTTGATAAAAGCATTAGAGTTAACAAAATTCCAAACATAGAAAATTTGAATATTGAGAGTGATACATAAAAAGAGTTTCTGATCAGTAACTCGTATGATGTAAAGAAGAGGAATCTGTAATAATGTTGCCATTCATTAATATAGCAAAACACTATCACATTACTGTCAATAGACAGTATGGTGATAGTGTTTTGCAGTAAATAACTGAGATTTGTTGGAGTTAAAATTCACAAGCCATTGCAAGCCCTAGTCTGTTACAAAAGTGAGATCAGGGTCAAGATCATCTGCCTGTTTTAAACAATCAAAAGAAGAAGACTTTTTGGTCATGACAGGAGTATAACTGAGACTTCAACTAATAGAGCAACTTTGGATGTCTTTATATACTGATTTTAGAATCTTTATATACTTTTGAATCTTTATATAGTTTTGAACCTTTATATACTTTTGAATCTTTATATACTTTTGAATCTTTATATACTTTTGAATCTTTATATACTTTTGAACCTTTATATACTTTTGAATCTTTATATACTTTTGAATCTTTATATACTTTTGAATCTTTATATACTTTTGAATCTTTATATACTTTTGAATCTTTATATACTTTTGAATTTTTATATACTTTTGAATCTTTATATACTTTTGAACCTTTATATACTGATTTTTGAATCTTTATTATTAATTTTGAATCTTTATATACTGATTTGAATCTTTATATACTTTTGAATCTTTATATACCGATTTTAGAATCTTTATATAGTTTTGAATCTTGATATATTCTTTTGAATCCTTATATACTGATTTTTGAATCTTTGTATACTGACTTTTGAATCATATCAAGATTCTGATGAGATAAGCTACTAAGAGCTTATCTTGTCAGAAACTTGATATGATTGAATGCAAACCAGATTCTTTTGCACATTCTTTTTGTGAAGCTGAAAATATTATGATAACTAAATAATCATATTAGCCTCAAACTTTAGATTGGAATATAAAATAGTATAATTGGGTGCTGTGTGTTGAATTTAGGAGAAAAATTGAGTGTGCTGTGTGCTTCATTTTTTTAATATTAAAATTGAAAGAAAAATAAGAAAAAAGTAATGGTTTTAATTGAGCTATCAATATAACTTTGTTCATATAATCTTTGAAGTATTATATTTAACTGTTGAGGATCAAAAATTCTTTTTATATACTTTTTACTAAATACCACTGGTATTTATCTAGCATATTAAAATGTTTTATAATTAAAAATTGAAGTTAATAGGTGTAAACTAAAATTGAAGTAAAAAGTGAAAGCGTAGTTTTTTTATTTTGAGGAAAAATATTGACTTCTTGTGTTACAAGGTATGTTATACGTTTCTAAATGTAACTTTAGTAATTGCAATTTTTTTTTAGTGATTTTTAGTGAAAAAAAAAAAATCTGGTCCTCATAAAAAAAAACTGGGAAGTTATAAAATCACTCTTTTCTCAATTGTTATATAAATTTTTATTTAAACTGACTACTGAATTTTTCTAATCGTTTGCAAAAAATTTGAATTAAGTAGAAAAAAAAGAATAATGGTTCCAATTTTCTGACATGATTTCCTCACCATCTAAATTCTAAATAAAGTTGCTAAAAGAAAAGCATTTTATTTAAATTTTGGATAAAATAATCAAAATATTATCAAATAAAATATTATCATTTAAATAATTAAAAAACTAATTAAAATTATGACAGGAAAAAAAAATGTTTTATTGAAATATTTTAAAGAAATATTTTACTAAATAAAGTGATCGCTGAGCAAAAAGAGAACCAAATTCGTAAAACAAATGTAAATAATAACGTAAAATAATGTAAACAAATGTAATGTCTGGATTAGTATTCAAGAGCAACAGGTATCGAAAAAAGGCAATTTTTAGGATTGCTTTTCATCCTAAAAATATCAATTCAGTGAATAATAATGGGGAAGCATACTATCAAAATAATTTTTTACAAGTTGATTTCAATAAAGCTGTCAATGGTCAAGAAATTGGCTAAATGTGGGCCAAACATATTATGTGGGACAACAAAGCAAATCAAATCATAAATACTATATGTATGATGACAATGGCACATATTAGCTATTACTCATATTGAACAAGATTTAGATGTACTCATCTCGGATAACCTTAAAGTTAATATTCAAGTAGATTATGCTGCTATGAAGGCCAATCAAATACTTGTTATGAAGGCCAATCAAATACTTGGAGTTTAAAAACAGCACAGAGATTTAAATCCGTGGAAATCGCTATATAAAACGTATATAAGGCCACATTTAGAATTTGTAAATTGAATCATGGTCACCATATCAAGCAAGAGACATACAGATTCTAGAAAACATTCAACAAAAAACTACAAAAGTAATTTTTTCATTATCAAAAACTGCCATACAAAGATAGACTCAAAGCACTAGGACTTACCACCCTGACTGAGAGAAGGATCAGAAGTGATATGATACAACATTTTAAAATAATGTCAGTTTGATTTCATTAACTAGCATCACCCACCAAAGTCGCTTTCCTCCCTTCATTGTGATGGACCTGCTGGTAGTACTTGTGATCAAGCTATGTGAATTGAGTGTCAACTGGTGAAACATTGCAAACAGAGGCAAAATTTCTTTACTAATTGTATAGTTAAACACTGAAACTCTTTGCAAACCATTGAAACTCCAGGATAGAGAAGTTTTAGGGATCAATATGATCATTACATTGTGAGGCCAAATATTGCAGCCTGAGTTAATGTTATTCAAAGTGTGATAACATGAATATTATGGTTTCCATTCGTAGCTTTTGCTTGTTTTGGATTTTAAAGAAAACACCTAATTTTTTAATAATGTACTATGTACATAAAAAACTTTGGGTACTGCACAGGAATGATATCACTCCTTCAAAAAATGTTTTTGTGAAGTAACTTGTTTAGAAAATATCTAATTAAAATGCTAAATAGAATAATTAAAAAAACTCTGCAAAACCTTCTTTTGTAAATTCTGAACAAATTAATTTAAAAAATACAACATTAAAACAAAAGCGCTTTAATGTACTATGTACATAAAAAATTTTGGGTACTGCACAGGAATGATATCACTCCTTCACAAAACGTTAACTTGTAAAAAAAAGTAACTTGTAAAAAATACAACATTGAAAACAAAAGCGCTTTATTTAACTAAATAAAAATGATCCTTATGTATTTTTTTTTTTAATGAATTCATTTTAATTTTAATTATTTTACTTAGAGTTTAAATAAACTTTTAAAACTTAGAATTTAAAAAAATTTTGAAAACTTAGAATTTAAAAATTTAAATGGACATTTTTTAGGCTATTTAGCAGTATTACTTTTAGTTATTACAGTATTATTAATAAATTGAATATTAATAAAATTAATAACACTAATTTCTGTTGTTAACTATAGCTGTTACAAAATCAAAGCTGACTTGTTTATGGCATCAAATATGAAATTACTTATCACAAACCAATTGTTATGAAAGTTATGCAGCGCTATTTTTTTGTTAAATTACAATTTCCCAGTAGCCAAGAAAGCCAAGAAGAAGAAGCTACTTTAGTTGTGGTTATAACCCTCTCACAACTATATAACTCCGAAAATTTAAGCAAAATCTTTAGCAGTATGTGTAATAATATTATAAGCATGAAAACATCATATAAATATATATATATAAATATATATATATATATATATATATATATATATATATATATATATATATATATATATATATATATATATATATATGTATATATATATACATATATATATATATATATACATATATATATGTGTATATATATATATATATATATATATATATATATATACATATATAATATTATATATATATTATACATATATAGTATATGTATATATACATATATATACATATATAATATTATATATATATTATACATATATAGTATATGTATATATACATATATATATATATACATATATAATATTATATATATATATATTATACATATATAGTATATGTATATATACATATATAGCATATGTATATATATATACATATATTACATATGTACATATATAATACAACAATATATATATATATATATATTTACATATATATAATATATATATATTATACATATAGTGTAATAAATACCCAAGCTACTCATAACTAAACACACATTTAAATTAAAAGTGTGTTTAATAATAATAAAAATAATAATAGTAATAAAATAATAATAATATATATGTATTTATATACACATAACCCTCGGAATTAGGGTCAGCATTGCCTAATGTAATACCGACCTTAAAGTGTTTAAGGTGTTTAAAATGCCGACCTTAAAGTTATGCAGACCTTAACATGTTTAAGTGTTTAAAAAAAATTGCCAACCTCGTTGTATGTTTTATAATAAACCCTTTGAGTCAAATTTTTTTTGCTGACCTAATGCCAACCTTTAACAATTTAAGGTTGGCAAATTATTGCCTAATTCTGAGGGTTGTATAGTAAATGTGATTTTAAAAATAGTAGGTGCAATTCCAAAAATAGTAGATGTATCTCTAAAAATAGTAAATTTAACTCTAAATATTGTTGATGTGACATAAAATAGTAGATGTGAGTCAAAAATAGTAGAAGTGACTAAAAATAATATATTTAAAAAAATATTATAAGCCCTACCAATTTTATAACTATCAACTTTGGCAGCTTTTGATAGGGATTCAAGACATTTGTACTTGTCTAAACGCTATAAAAAGTATTTCTAATTAAATAAAGGAAATATATGATGTGTTCAAATATAAAATTAAAAATTTCAAGTTGAAACCTCTATTATTTTCGCTTTACATGTTGAAAGTGGAAAAAATGCATTTCTGTCAGATGATAATAATAAAAGACAAGCAGGTGAATCATCATTTAAGTAGGATATATGAGCATATAAATAACCACTATTATCAAAACGAGGCAGGCATATTGGTGTCCAAGACTCTGCTGAGTGAAATGCTTTTGAAGCATTAACAAGATTAAATACTAGATGAAGATCTAAAAAATACTAAAGAATAAAGTTCTTTATAAAGAATTACTTTTAATAATTAAAAAATAATTACTTCATTTTTTTTAATATTGTACACAAAAACTTAAAATTAAATAAAACCTGAAGGATGTAAACTAAACTTCTTTGGCCTAACCATTGTTACAAGTTGATTTCCGACAACCAATATTGCAAATACTAACTCCTGATTACAAAAATTGTAAATACTAATTCATAACAACTCAATAAAATATTATCTAAAACAGTCTTTTAAAGTTATTATCTAAATAAGTCTTTAAAAAACTATTTTAAAAAATTTTAATGAAATAAATGCCATTAAATAAATACTTTGCATTTGACAAACTGTAATGCTTGCCCTATAGTGTCTCTAACAGCGCTTGACATTGGTAAACATCGAACCTTAAACAAACACTAATGTTAAGTTAATAGAAATTAACACTAATATTAAGTTAATAGAAATAAAGGTATTAAAAAAATTGAAAGAATTTAAATTTTTTGACTAGATTAGTGGTAGTAGTAGTAGTAGTAGTAGTAGTAGTAGTAGTAGTAGTAGTAGTAGTAGTAGTACTAGTAGTAGTAGTAGTAGTAGTAGTAGTAATAGTAGTAGAAGTAGTAGTAGTAGTAGTTTATGTGAGTCCCCAAATTACGTTTCAAGAGCCTTGATGTTATGCAAAATGCCCTTATGTTACTTTTTAAGCCCTAGCGTTACTATATTGAGCCCTTATGTTACATTTTAGTGTAACATAAGGGCTCCGTGTATACTGAAAGTAAACAAGTTTAAAATAAGTTTTAGAATAGTTACCTTAAGAGCATGAAACATTGTAAGAAAAGCATATATATATATATATATATATATATATATATATATATATATATATATATATATATATATATATATATATATATAAATGTATATATATATATATATATATATATATATATATATATATATATATATATATATATATATATATATATATATATATATATATAAATGTATATATATATATATATATATATATATATATATATATATATATATATATATATATATATGTATGTATATATATATTTATGTATGTGTATATATATATTTACACATACATACATATATATATATATATATATATATATATATATATATATATATATATATATATATATATATATATATATATATGTATGTATATATATATGTATGTATGTGTGAATATATATATATATTTAGAATATATATATATATATATATATATATATATATATATATATATATATATATATATATATATATATATATATATATATATACATATATTATATATGTATATATATATATATATTGTTATATAAACAAAATATATATATATAGAGAGAGAGAGAGAGAGAGTAAATTCCCTGATAAATCTGGGAATTTACTCTCTGCCCCTTTGGTACAAAACCGGCCGCGAAATCGAGCTGAGAAGCAACCCCACACCATTATTGACGGTGGATGTTTTACAGTAGGCACAGTGTACTTCTGAACATACCTAGATCCTTGTGGTCTTCTAACATAATTACATGATGTCCCAAATTGTTCAAATGTGCTTTCATCAGAAAACATTACTTTCTCCCAGTCCTTCTCCTTCCAATGTTTGTGCTTTTTGCAGAAGTCCAACCTCCTTATGCGTTGAGTGTCATTCAAGGCTGGTTTCTTGGCAGGTCATCGAGCAGGACGCTTCAGATCAATCTGCAGCACACGTCTGATCGTTCTTGTGCTTGGTAGACTTGCTTCAGCATTTCCAGGACTCAAATCATCCAGAATCCCATATGATGACAGCTTGGAATTATTCTCCACAATAAACTTGATGCGTCTTGTCAATCTTTCAGTCACTTTTTTTAGTCTGCCACTTCTCCCACGTGACAAAAATGTTCCACATTGTCGAATTCTACTTAATGTCTTACTAACACACGATTGTGATACATTTACAATTTTTGCAATATCTCTAGTTGAATTTTTTTGTTGAGCTAATATAAGAATTTAACCTCTAATAACTTCTGATAATTCCTTCTTTTTTCCCATTAAAATGATCAAAAAATGTAATTAAAACTGCTGCTTAGCTACCACAAATGGTTTAACTAAATACCGGAACAAAGACAACTAAATAGAATTAATATTTCTGACCAAGGTTCGACAAAAACACAAAAAAATGAAAAGTTGACATGTGATTCTAAACTTTTGGCCACGACTGTATCATCACAAATGTAACACGGTAAGCCTTGAGAAGCGTGATTATTTATTTTTATTATTTTCATGACTTCAAGTGCAAAAATGGTTCCCGACAGTCTTGGATTGGAACTAAGAAAGAAAATTATTGGCGATTACGTAAGTGGAATGTCACAAAAAAGTATTTGTGATAAATATCGTGTGAAAAAATGGACAGTATCAAGACTATGTTCCAAATATAGTTCTACGAGGAAGTTGGCAGCAGATAACAAAGGTGGAAGACCGCGTTCCACCACTTCTAGAGAGGATTCTATGATTGTCAGATCAGTCAAGAAGAATCCCTGTATATCATCACTGTCCTGTTCAGTGATGAATCGAAATTCAATATCATTAGGAGCGATGGCATTTGCTGTGTACGTTGACCGACCGGAAAAGGCCATGAAACCGTGAAGTATGGTGGAGGCAATGTAATGGTCTGGGGGTGTTTTTCTGCTAACAGCCTAGGTCCAATACATCGAATCGATGGAATAATGGATCGTTTCATGTATAAAAATTTCCTGAAAGATGTTATGTTACCTCATGCTAAATGAAATATGCCAATAAAATGGGTTTTTCAGCAAGACGACAATCCAAAACACACTGCAAAAGTAGTCAAACAGTGGTTTCAAGACAACCACCTATCAGTGATGGATTGGCCGCCTCAATCTCCGGATTTTAACCCTATCGAGAACCTGTGGGAAAATGTCAACCGCAGAATTAACCGTGAAGGTGTTCGTAATAAGGATCAACTGTTTGAACAAATCCAAAAGGCCTGGGCAGCAATTCCACAAAGTTTCATTGATCACCTGATGGAATCTATGCCTCGAAGATGCAAGGCTGTGATTGACAACAAAGGATTTGCCACGAAATATTGATAGTTAAATACAGCTTGGTCAACATTTTGTGGAGTTGCACTTGTTTTGTCCAGAAGGAAATCAACTTTTACTAATACTTTTGATTAATTTATTAACTTTCGTGTACAAATAATGAACTTTGTGATGAATAAAACTTGAAGAACGTTGTCTCTAAACAGTTACATAGTTATTTCTCTAAATTGAAGAAATGCAGCACTTTTATATAAAGAAACTAAATTAGCATTATTTGGTTGCACTTGTTTTGTCTGATACTGTATATATATATATATATATATATATATATATATATATATATATATATATATATATATATATATATGTTTATATTTACTATATATTTTTGTTTTAGCGTTATTACATATACAAGAATTATTGTATTTTATGTTATATAAACAAAATTTTTGAAAGAAACCTTTTTCTTCAAAATCAGTTAGTTTTTTTACATCGCAAGAGCAATTTTATAAAAACTCTTACATTATTTAAATTTAAAAGCGTTACAACTTTTGTTTATGAAAAAACAATTATTTTTTCTAAATTAACAAAAATTTTACCAATATGAATATTTTTCCATAATTTAAAATTGAACACAATTGATTCTCATAATAATCATTGACTAACCTAAATAATTTTATCTATATAACAACTGATATAATAAGCGATTTATGTGACATAACAATCAATTATTTTTTCCAATATTGAGTTTGTTTTGACGCAAAAGTTACAAATGGTTGCATTTTTTTATGCAAAAAACTAATATATATGCACTTGAAGTCCAACAGTTTGAATCAGAGATTTGTTAAAGAATCTAACTTGTGGAATAAAAAGTAAAGCAAATAAATATCATTTGTGAATCATTTTTAGAATGTAGTAAAGGGCATAAAAATTGTAAAAAAAGAGAATCCTGCTTGGACCTATCGCTATTTACCATTCTAGGATAAATAGCGATAGGTCCAAGCAGGATTCTTGCATAGCCTCTGGGACTAGCATGCCACTGGTGTCCAGTAAATTTTTAATAGAACTTCTTGCAAGATAAAACAGATAGCTAGATAGTTGATCAAAGTAGCATCACATATAGAAATATTTTAATTAAATATTTTAATTAAAAAATCATTCGAAGTACATATAAATAACAATTTATTTCTGTTTATAATTTCTCATGCAAAGACATTGTTCAAAAGTACATTATTTGATCTAATTTCACTATTTTTGATAGACTGTCAAAGCTATATATATATATATATATATATATATATATATATATATATATATATATATATATATATATATATATATATATATATATATATATATATATATATATATATATATATATATATAATATATATATACATATATATATATATATATATATATATATATATATATATATATATATATATATATATATATATATATATATATATATATATATGTATATATATATATGTATATATATATATGTATATATATATGTATATATATATATATATATATATATATATATATATATATATATATATATATATATATATATATATATATATATATATATATATATATATAGAGAGAGAGAGAGAGAGAGAGAGAGAGAGCTTAAGAAAATCAGCAATGGATCAAGAATTTTTTACAAGCTTACCTTGTGTATTATGTACATTTGTTGTGAACATCGAATCTCAAGGTGGTACAGTTAGTGAAGGGCACTTTGTTTGCAAACTTGTTTTGGTAATTTTTTATAAAAGTTTTTCTGTTATACAAACATATATTTATTTTAAAATAAATAAATATATGTTGGTATATTTCTACTTCTAAATTTCACAATTTAGAAGTAGAAATATACAAACATATATTTATTTATTTTAAAAATATTTTTTTTTCCATTCATGTTTAAAATTTGTGCTTAGTTCGAATGATTGTTATATAGTTTCAGATATCCTACTAAAGCATATGTAATTCAATATATTTAAAATTCAACTTAAACTTTCCTGTTTCATTCAAAATAATATGGATTTTAAATAAACAGATCAATGTAAATCAAGTGCTGCAAATTTTTTATAAATAAATTGTCCATTAACATGGTAATAAGTTTAAAGGGCTCTTTTTTTTAATTCATATTTAGGCATTTGTTTATTTTCAAGAAAAAGCGGGTTTTTAGTATAAAAATATCTTCTATTCAAGGGTTTTTTTAATAATTTTATATTCGAAAAGATAATCTTTTGTTTAGTTTGTGTAAAGAATAAAAGAGATTTTAAATAAAGTAGAGAGAGAAAAATTGTTTTCAAAAT